CTCTACCCCAGCTCCTGACCTTCTGCCCATCCCTGTTTAGAGACAATAAGCTCTGAGATGAGAACGGGGAGAAAAGAAATGGTGATGGCACAGTAAAATATGAACTGCAGTAAAAAGTGATATTTTCGTTCTTAAGTGCTATATACATTCTAGAATGAAACTTAGCAGACTTTTTTTTTTAACTTTACCTTCTATGCATAACTAAAAAAAATATACAGAGAATACTTCATGTTTTGTGTACTTTTTTGGGTACCTGTTTATAAAATCTTTTAAATAAAAGAATTTGAAAAAGAACTTATGACAGGAAACAACTAAAAAACAAGATGGAGAAAAATAAAGAGAAGAAAAGCAAGAGGAAGGACCCCGCTGAAGAAGAGAGGATAAAAGCAAAGAATTGTGGGAACTGTGGCAAAAACTGGGGGAAAAAAAGGCACTGTAGCTTCTCAAGCACCTCTCTGCATTCACAGAAATATATCCAAGAAGAAAAACAGCTTGCTCTGTTATTGTAAATTTAAAATTAGAAGTCTTTGTACAATATGATCTGGAGCAACTTGGAATCTTTCCTTTAAGAAAAAAAAGAAAAAATTGCTGGCAAATCATTAAAAATAAACCCTGAACTGAACATAACATAAAATCCACTACGCCATGCTTTAAAAATATGTGTTGCTGGATAAGATGTTCTTTAATGGTCCTTGGGTCCCTTTCACTATTTTCAAACATGAGGGATAAAAGAATCAAGAAATGCTCATCTACTCCTACTCTTTTTTTCCCCGAATCACCAGGAACCCACATAAAATCACAAGGTATTATGTACCTTACAACTTACAACTCTATCTCGACTTTTATCCATCATCATTCAGAAGAACTTGTTAATCATAAGGGAATATGTGAGTAAGGGCAGGATACCTTTTGAAAAAAGGTTAGAATAAAAGAAGAACCCCACAGCAACCAATGGGGAAGGGACGAAAAGATGATCATAATCTAGGAGGAAAAAAACAAACTAGGAAAGAAAAAAAGCTAAAACAAACTAGGAAAGAAAAAAGAAAAGTAGGAAAGAAACTAGAATTATGTAAGTAGCTGTAATCAACAGAAGAAAGGGAAAGTCTCCATGGAATACTATGCATATCTCCAAGCAAACATACTCAGGCTTCCGGGCCAACAGGGAGCTCCCCATCAGCTCTGTCCTTAGGCCTCTTTCCCCTACCCACCCCAACACTTGGAGATCATCAAGTGTCAAGGACAGTGTTTGAACTCAAGAGCCTGCTACTCTGGCTCCTAAGTGTAGATTCACCACACTGGGCAACACTATGCAGATATGGCTGTTTTGTCACATAGGCCACCTTTATTAAAAAAANCTAAAGCCAAAACCAAAAAAAAAAAAAAAAAAAAAAAAAAGAACCGCTTTCCACCAAGACAGCAGATGTTCAGGGGCTACATGTTTAGAAAGACAACAAGGAAACAAAGTGAGCCTGTGTGACAAGAAAAACAGATGATGGTTCAGGGTGGTTTCTCCAATTTCCCCTGAAACAGGTCTCTCTGGTGACCTAGAAAGGAAACTCAGGAGAGTCCATTTTGGGGTTGTTCAATTTTCAGTTCAGAAAGAGATAGTGAATGCAGTGTGCTGTCTTCAGACAAGAGAAATTTGAGAAATGACTAGAACTAGAAGAATGGCTTCATACAGATTCTAAGCAGGAGAGGCTACTGATACTCAGCTGGGCTAAAGTTCAAGTAAAGACCTGACTGTCAAAATCTGCACTTGCCTCAAACATATTCCTTCTTCTTAGTCTACTGTATGCTCAGAATTGGTATCGTCAGAATTCCTGAACTTTATATATTTTAAAAACACAATTAGAAATAAACTTATTCAAGTTAGGCTTCAGCAGTATGTGAACTGAGAACTTCCAGGTGAACAAGCTGGATTTAGAAAAGGCAGAGGAATCAGAGATCAAACTGCCAACATACGCTGTATCATAGAAAACGCAAAGGGAGTTAAAAAAAAGATCTCCTTCTGCTTCACTGACTACGCTAAAGCCTTTAACTGTGTGGGTTACAACAAACTGTGGAATACTCTTAATGAGATGGGAATACCAGAGCACATTACCTGCCTCCTGAGAAACCTGCATGCAGGACAAGAAGCAACAGTTAGAAGTGGACATGGAACAATGGACTGGTTCCAAATTGGGAAAGGAGTATATCAAGGCTATATATTGTCACGCTGCTTATTTAACTTACATGCAGAGAACATCATGAGAAATGCTGGGCTGGATGAATCACAAGCTAGAATAGATTGCTGGGAGAAATATCAACAACCTCAGATAATGCAGATGATACTTTAGTGGGACAAAGTGAAGAGGAACTAAAGAGCCTCTTGATGAAGGTGAAAGAGGAGAGTGAAAAAGCTGGCTTAAAACTCAACATTCAAAAAATGAAGATCATGGCATCCGGCCCCACCACTTCATGGCAAATAGATGGGGAAACAATGGAGACAGTGTCAGATTTCATTTTCACGGGCTCCAAAATCACTGCAGAAGGTGACTGCAGCCATGGAATCAAAAGACGCTTACTCCTTGGAAGAATAGCTAGGACAAACCTAGAGAGTGTACTAAAAAGCAGAGACATCATTTTGCTGACAAAGGTCTGTATAAGTCGAGGCTATGGTTTTTCCAGTAGTCATCTATGGATGTCAGAGTTGGTCCCTAAGAAAGGCTGAGCGCAGAAGAATTGATGCTTTTGAACTCTGGTGTTGGAGAAGACTTTCGAGAGTCCCTTGGACAGCAAGGAGATCAAACCAATCAATCCAAAAGGAAATCAATCCTGAATATTCATTGGAAGGGCTGGTGCTGAAGCTGAAGTTTCAGTACTTCAGCCATCTGATGGGAAGAGCCAACTAACTGGAAAAGACCTTGATGCTGGGTAAGATTGAGGGCTAGAGGAGAAGGGGATGACACAGGATGAGATGGTTGAATGGTATCACTGACTCAATGGACATGAGTTTGAGAGCTTGTTTGGAGGTTCTAGCAGGGGAGTGCAGCTACTCGTATACCCTTGACCGAAGACCGGTCCTCCTCTATCGGGTATGGTTGTCCTCTTCGACTGAGCGCGCAGCTTCGGGAGGGATGCACATGGAGCGGTGAGGGAGGAAGGGGACACCCGCCTAGCCAGCCAGATCAGCCGAATCAACCCTGGCGATCAATGGGGTGACAGATGTCGCAACCAGATCGCCCTCACATGCTGGACATGAGTTTGAGTAAACTCAGGGAGATGGTGAAGGACAGTGAAGCTTGGAGTGCTGCAGTTCAAGGGGTTGCAAAAAGTCAGACAGGACAAAGCAAATGAACAATTGTATACTACCAAACCAATCCTGAGAAGTGTTGATACATGGTATCTTTTGCTTAAAGGATGCTTCACAAGGTCTGGACAGATATAGCTCCTGTCAGCAGTTCCACAAAAAACAACAATATAAACGTGTTAAAAAGTGCTTGCCAGAATGATGTTCAGGCCAACAACTGTAGAGAGAGTCCTCATCAGACTGGCCACTTCTGTTGTGCTTAGAGATGTAATGTCTGCCTTAGTAATTCATCAGTGAGGGGATGATCTGAAGGTGTGTGATGGCTGTTACATATGAGCTCAAGAGAACACAGGAATCAGGCTGCAGAATTCCTACAAATATACAGTTCATCCACTCAACTTAAAATATGATTAAGGAAGGGAAGTGTTTACATTTCCTGATTGGGCTCCCTCATTTTCCTAAGAACACTGCCTCTCTAATCAGCTGGAAGTGGACAGCCCTTCATGGTCATCATATCTGCCCTGCTATAGAAGACAACCTCAAGCTTTCTGTTAAATTCTTATCAGAAGTCTGATTCTAACAACATTCCTGAGGAAGCTTTACCTGAAGGGCAGACATACCATGCAGGAGGCCAGGTGATTTAAACTTGCTCCTCAATCAAGTCAGACCACCAAAAGCTACATACTCACAATGTAGGTTCAATGACACACTTTGAAATTACGTTCTAAGCCACTGTTGGCTCAGAGACTTTAAGAAGCGGTGGAGGGAAATGTCCTATTGTAATAATTGAGAAATTATGATTTAAGAGGTATGGGGTGGGGCTGGACCTATGAGTTTTTAATAAGCACTCCACAGACGTGCACTTCGGGTTGAAAAAAGAATCACCTCTCCATTTTATTTAAGGTGGAATGGACGTTCAGGATTATTGTCCTGTAATTATATATGAGGTCCCCTCTTAAGATCCTCGGGCGAGACTTCCCTTAGGTCTCATTCCTGAGCAAAGCTGATATTACCAACGCGGTAGAACTTGTTGCCAAATCTGCAGCTCCCTGCTGACGACTGGGCAGCACCCAAAGGCCCGAAGGAGGTGCTTGTGGGTGTGGTGCAAAGAGCGCCGGCATAGAGCCGAGTCCGCGTTTAAAGCCCAGCACTACGCGGGCAGCGTCACCGGTTTCTCTGCAACAACAGGACGGAGGTGCCGTGAGAGCTCCCGGCACGACCATGAGAAACATCCGGGCCGCCGCCGCGTGCGCGCCGGTGGTCCCGCGGGTCGGAGCCAGACAGCCTGGCGCGTGACACAAGGCTTTCCCCTCGCCGTGCCCTCCCGCGTCCGGGCTTCCACTCTCCCTGCCGGGACCCCCGTTGGCGGTCCGGCCCGTTCCGAGGGCCGCGGCGGCCCCCACCCCCGCCGCCCGCGTCATGGGGCCTTATTAGCATCCGGCGGGGCCAGGGCGGCGGCGCCCCCTACTGGAGGCGTAGGGCGCGTCAGCGGTGGAGCGCTGCCAGGTGAGGAGGGCGGGCCGGGTGTAAAACTTCACAGGGGGTCCTGGGGACAGGTAGGACGTGTAGGCCCCTCTGAGCCTCATTCGCCTTCCTAGAAATCTGAACCTCGGGCAAAAGTTGGATACAAGAAAAAGCAATGGGCTCGGGAACTTTACTTCCCAAAGATTAGAAATAAACCAGGTGTTCAAGAGCAGCAGAGGCCGAACTTTGTTAATTACAATGATCTGTTTACCAGACACTGGGAAATGCACTTTTCATCCAGTATCTCATTTTGTCCTCGAAACAGCCCTCGCGGGTACGTACTGTGAATTCTTCCTCATCTGCAGAGAGGCAAGTAACTAGCCTGAGGTCACATTATACAAAAAAAAAGAAGTTATAATTGACCTAGTTAATCATTTTAGAGAGGGTAGATTTAGTTGCCTGTATTTTATTTTAACTGGTGAAATCTAATTACTATTTGGGAGACAGTGTAGCTCAGGGCAGGGTTCCAAAAACGAAGTAGGAAGAGGGACCAGATAGGTCAAGTCAATGAGTGTAGGCCAGGTGTAGGTAAAAGGGAGGGGTGAGGACCCCAGGGAAATGAGATCTAGCCTAATCGGGGCAGCTGCTACCAGGCTTTGGTATTGCCATGTTTATTTTTCAAGATTTTTATGTGAAAAATCCCAACTTTTTAATATATTAGCAGCTCTGTTTGTATTCCACTGCTGCAATATGCAATAACAAGCTACCACACACCTGGTGACCTGAAACAGTTTGTCACTCACAGTTCTGGAGGTCAGAAGCCTGAAATAAGTCTACTAGGTGAAGATCAAGGTGTGGGCCTGGCTGCATTTCTTCTGGAGGATCTATGGAAGAATCTTGTTTACTTGCCTTGTCCAGCTTCTCAGTCATTAATGGTGAGTCACGTCCTCTTCACATCACTCTGATTTCTTCAGTACTCACATGTCCTTCTGCTCTCTTCTATTCCTTTTCCAACTTTTGAGGACCTAGTGATTACACTGGGTCCTTCCAGGAAACTTGAGATAACTTCCCCATCTGCAAAGTAACAGGTTTATATATTCCAGGGACTAGGATGTGGACATCTTTGAGATGGGTACTGTTTTGCCCACCAGAGTAACTAATTCTGATTTTTAAAGTATTGTGTGCCAAAAAACCCTCACGTGTGAGACAGCATCCATAAGGCTTTTCTTTCTTCCAGCTCGGTGTCCAAGAGGGCAGACTCAAGTCTGACTGCCTGGGTTAGTTAGTTAGTTAGTTAGTCGTTCAGTTGTGTCTGACTCTTTGTGACCCCATGGACTGTAGCCTGCCAGGCTCCTCTGTCCATGGAATTCTCCAGGCAAGAGTACTGGAGTGGGTTGCCATTTCCTTCCCCAGGGGATCTTCCCAACCCAGGGATAGAACCCCGGGCTCCTGCACTGCAGGCAGATTCTTTACCACTGAGCCGCCGGGGAAGCCCAATGGTAATCTTACCTCTAGTTTTATTTTGTCCTCCTGTTTCTTTTCCCGTCCTTCATTTGCCCAGATTTCCTCTTTTAATTCTATCATAATTGTAACGTATGTTGTTTTAACACCAAATCCTTTGTGGATCAAGATAAGGACTATGTTTTAAAGTGTTATTATAAAAGGACATGTGATTTAGTGATGATCACCGAAGGATTTTCACCAAAAGTGACTGATGTACCAGTTTTTAAATATCTTTATTTACAAATTGGTATATTATCGGTCAGTTTGAATGCCATATGTGTGATAAAATAGATTATGAGAAATATCATATTTACAATGAAATCATTATTTTATATAACTGAATCACCTAGTAGGCTACCTCCTGCAATAATAACTTAATGGGCCTAATTCTGCCTTTTGAATGGGCTAATTTCATTCTTCCCTTAGAAAATTTTGAGTTCGGTATAGTTTCTTGGTGCTTAAGGAAAATCCCTGGGAACCAGCAAATGGAACCAGACCTCTCTGGGACTGAGAGACAGGAGTGAGAGAAAAGACATCCTGTCACATCTTAGTCCCACGACTGCTATGCTTTGCAGCAGGAGGAAAGAGTCAGTCCCAGGAATTACATTGAACATTTCCAAATCTTCAATATCAAGGATGAATTTCTAAAACAAGTTTTGTAGACAGAAGCTCTCCAGCTAGTCATTAACTAAAATTCATATGCAATACAGTCAAGGATGCTGTGCTTACAAAAACCACATATAGCTTATTTATCTCTAATTTTAAAATAATTCTTTCTCTTATTGGGTATGCAAGTGAGCAGTGGAGAAAGTGGTGCATCTGCAATACCTGAAATTGAAAAATAAAAAGAAAAACATCAGTTTAAAAATGGCCAAGATTAGAGGGTGGATCATGGACCCTCGTTAAGTGAAACAGAATATTTTCAAAACGAGGCATGACAGAATAGCAGCCTGGAGCCATGAGAAAGTTGAGAGGCAATTAGTCAGCATAGAGGGTCAAATGTAGTGTGTTGTTAATTCCCCCTGGTGAAATAAGCTGACCACTTACCGGCTGGGGCCAGGGATTTTAGTGCTTCCAGAAGATGAGGGCTAGAGAACTTTACCAGGCACCGGAGGGGCTCTTCTCTCTCAGCCAGGATGCCCCCATTTAAGTCACTTTTGAATTTCGTTTCAAGCTGTCATCAGATATATTTATAAATGACTATTAAATACAAATATTTTGCAATGGCAAAATATAAAGAGACACGATTATGTGTTTCACTAATTCTTGTTATCAAGAAACATAGGGATGAATGGGAGTGGGGACCATTTAAATTGCTAATTGCAAACACTGGGGGAAACCAGGATATCAACAATATTGCACACAAAATGCCGAGTGTGCACTCATGAGATACTGCCCTCAGGATGTCCTTTACTTGAGCATTAGGTTTACATTCTTAATGGAAAATGAGCACTACTTTTTGTAATCTGTCATTTCAGTGTAAAAAATCTCATGTGTTTTGGGTCACTACCACAATTTAACTTATTATAGAAAATTTAAGAAACATACAGAAGGAGCACAGTGTAAGGAGTCCCCCTGTACATATCACCCAGCTGAAACCATCACCAGTCTTTTTCCATCTATTACCCTACCTCCTGTTCCCTACTACCCATATCCACTGGATTATTTTGAAGCAAATCCAAGACACCATAGTATCCTGCTTGTAAATATGTTGATATCTACCTAAAAAGGATTTTTTCTAAACTCCACCTCCAAAACATTAGCACACCTAAGAAAATTAATAACAGTTCCTCATATCATCAAATATCCAAGTATTGCTACTTCAATAGGTACTTGGCTCTTAGATTCTATCTTGAGCTTTTTTCTTTTTGCTTAAAATGATTCTTAAAATTTAGAGGCAGGATGCTGAAGTATTCATGCATGAAACAATGCAGAGGGTGAGTAATGTCTGCAGCTAATTCAAATGGTTCAGAACAAAGAAAGAGAAAAAAGCAAACGTGGCAAAATGTTAACAATGAGTGCATTTTGAAGCAAAGGGGAAATGGATGTTCACTGAGGTATTCATGCATGTTTCCTGAAGGTTTGACATTTTTCAAAACAGAAGAGGTAGGGAAAAATTAGTAGCAGGTATGAATAAATGTGTACCTTGACTTATAGAATAGACACATTCTCAGATGTGTATAAAGGAAGTTTTGTGTATTAAATGTTATGTGTCCTAGATCAGCAGTTCTCTATGCAGAATCAGCTTGTGGGCTTGTGAAAACAGATGGTTGGGACCCACCTCCAGAGTCCCCTATCCAGTAGGATTACGGCAGGCCAAGAACCTGCATTTCTTACCCATTCCCAGGTGATGGTGATGCTGTTGGCCCAGAGACCATACTTGGAGAATGATTGTCTTAGGATATATTTAAAAGAACTGGGTTAAAACCTGCCATTCAGGGACCTTAACTTGAAAGGTGTCAAATCAACTTTTTCCACAAAAAACAAACCAAACCAAACAGGTGTTGGGCCTGACTAAGCAGATCACTGGTAGATTTCAAGTGTGGCCTGTAGCTGCAGAAAATTCTAAGCAGGAAGAATTTTATTGGAAGGTTTGAAGGGAGGGGAGTGTTATGAATATGAACATGAGTATCACATTAGGGTGGTCATGATATAAATCTTGAATTTTGCTAATGGTGGCCAAGGGCTTGCCCCTCACCTGGCTTTCCTGGTGGGCACTGACTCACTTCTGGAATGAGACAGGTTTGCAGGCTACTGTTTTTTTCCCTATGTGATGCCAACTGGGCTATATAATGACTGATTTCTTCAATCTTTTGTCCAATAAGTATTTATGAGCACTGACCATGTACAAACACTGTTCTAGGTGTGGATGGGCTAGAAGGATACAATTTTTTTTTTCCCTCAAAAATACAGATCACAGCTGGTTACACATAACTAGATTAATATAAAAGGTGAAATGAAAAGGCAAATTCAAAATTTCCAAAGGTTGTCCTTTGCAACAGAGGAACTTACTAAATACGATAAAGAAGTCTATTTTAACTCATAAATTATACAGAATTAAAGTGATGAATGACATAAGTTTCTTTGAATTGTTTTCCACTTGAAACTTTAGTTGTTTTTAAAAAATACTGATAACTTGTAGTTAGGTTATAGCGGCGTCCTACCTTATATTGTGCAAATTCTAGTCTTGGTTGAGGATAGTCTCCAAAAATTTCTTGAGTCACTTTCTGCACTCTCTCTTTTTCTACTTTGTTTTCATGAATGATCCTTGAATCCACTATAGATGGAAGATTTCAAGAGAAACCAGCTGTTAGGAATGTATTTCACCCACAAAGTATCATCCTTTCATTCCTAATCTTTCAACATGCTGGTATAATTTTGAAGTAACATTTACTGCTTTTTTACTTGATTGTAATAATTTCTTACAAAGTAGAAATTTAGAAATATAGGCTGATAAGAAGATAAAAATCACCCATAATCCTACCACACAAAGATAAATACTATTAAAACATTTTAATACATTTGTCTAACCCCTTTTTTCAGTGAATAAAAAGATATGTATTTTAAAGGCTGGGTTTCTAAAATATACACAATTTTGTACCCTGCTTTCTTTACTTAACATGAAATCAATAGCAGTTCCTGTGCCATTGGAAAGTCATGGTTTACTTCATGATGGCTGTACCATTTCATTTTACTGCTAAGTCACTGCCAAGAAAGAGGAACATTTCCATTTTTATAGTATATTATACCCACCACTTGTTTTGAACTTTCTGATCCACATTAGTAGTTTCATATTCTATTCTATTGGGTTTTCTATGGATGGACTCATGTCAACTATGAATGATGAAATGGTCACGATTCTGATTACAGGCACACCACAGAAATAAGTGGGTGCAGTTTTCTATACCACTGCACTGAAGTGACTCACATGAGTTTTTTGGTTTCCCAGTGCATATGAAAGTTATGTTTATATCGTATTGTGGTCTATTACGTGTGCAACAGTATTATGTCTAAAAGGACAATATACATGGCTTAATTAGAAAGTACTTTATTGCTAAAAAAATGCTGACCATCATCTAAGCCTTCAACAAGTTGTAATCTTTTACAATAGTAACATCAAAGATCACTGATCACCGTAACAAAAATGAAAAAGTCTGAAACACTGTGAGAAACTGTGACAGAGAAACGACCTGAGCCAGTGCTACTGGAAAAATGGTGCCCACAGATTAGCTCAATACAGGGTGACCACAAACCTTCAATTTGTAAAAAGCGAAATACCCGCCAAGTGCAATAAAGTACTTGGGAAGCAATTTACTCAATGCATTAAGATCCTGGGCTCCAGGCTCAGATTCGGTTTTTCCTTCTGGCTTTGCTGATTCCTAGTTATGTGATTCTGCTCAGCAAGTTACTAAACCTCTCTGAAACCCAGTTTTCTACCCCTCTTTTCTGATGAAAAGAGCTTGCTCATGGGACTGCTGTGAAGATTACGGAAATGATACATATGAACACTTTAGTATGGTGCCTGGCACAGAAGAAATGCTCAGTTAAATTATTTAGTTTTTTGTTTTGGTTGTGATTCTGACTAGATGCCATTCTAGCAAATTCTAAAGGAGACCTACATTAGCTTAGCTTCCCCACTTCAACAGAAATTTACTTTTCAGTTTTCTGAAAACAGGAGATACTTTTGAATCACAATCCTGGTACAGAAATGTTTTTTACTGGGTGAGAGAAATCTGAAAAGGAACGTCCTTCCAAATTTCAGTGTTTATCTTAAAATACACGTACTATTTATATCTAGCCCAAGGCTTCTTTCTTGTAGAGATGTAGTAGAGTTGTGAGTTTCAAAGCTCTAGGAAAAAGAAAACAGGAAAAAGTGAATGCTTTCCTAATTTTATCACCTCAAAGTATAGATATTAATTGGTTTTAGTGCACAAAAGTATGGCAAATCTTATCTTTCATTTTTTCCAACACAGATATTTGAGGCCCTATGCAGACTGAGTTGAGCATTTCTCCTAGAGCGATACTGACGGAGACTGCCGGGGCCAGCAACAAGGCTGCTTTGTTTGAGGAACTCTGTACCTTGTTAACATAAAAGTGTATCTGGAAGAACTATAGCTGCTGAGCCAAAAGCTAGAGAAATCAAAGGCAGCCTTTACAATGTGATGCTGCAGTTTTATATTTATGTCTTTATAACTGTGAAAAAACACCTCACGAACATTCCTTACAGAAAAATAACTTTCCTGCTGTAAGTCTAAATCTCCCAGACTCCTTCACTCACTTTCCCCCACTGAAGGCACTGTCTTTATAATAAAGTGTTTGATGAGTTTTTCTAGAAACGCAACTGATCATAGCAGAACTGTTGATATTAATAGCAATTTGGTAGGAGGCTGGTAGGTAAGAGGGAAGGTGCTATGGGGGAAATCATTATCTAAATTTTTTTAAAAATTATTTTTAACTGGAGGGTAATTGCTTTCCAGTATTGTGTTGGTTTCTGCCATACATCAACAGGAACCAGCCATAATCAGACATATTACATGTGTCCCTTCCCTCCTGAGCCCCCTCCCACCTCCCACCCACCCCAGCTCTCTAGGTTGACAGAGCATCAGGTGTGAGCTACCTGCATCATGACAGCAAATTCCCACTGGCTACCTGTTTTACACATGGAACATACATGTATGCAACTTCTTAGTGTTAAGCTTGTTCTCCTTAAAGAGTAGCTTGTAGAAAGCCATCACTTCTTTCTACTTAGAACAGATGAAAATACGTAAGTAGAACATAGCTAGGGGCTTGAAGATATACAGTCTTAACAATTCTATAGGAGTCTGAACATATGAGCACACAGATGCCATGCAGAGGGGAAAAAAAAACAAAAACCCTGAGCCTTGGAGCAAGGTCAGATCCATTATCATTAAAAGGAAAATAATACACTCAAACAATTTTTTATCTTATTAGGTTTTTTTTTTTTTTTGGTTTACTCCTAGTACACTAGACACACCTCATGAAGTTATGAGGAATTATGGTTATACCCTTTGTACCAAATTGGCCCCATATAATATGCCTTGATATTTGACCAGAAACATTTTTTATTTTTTTGACTCATACAGCATGGCACGTGGGATCTTAGTTTCCTGACCAGGGATTGAACCCATGCCCACTGCTTTGGAAGTGAAGTCTTAACCACTGAACTGCTAGGGAAGTTCCACACTCAAATAATTTTTTTTTTTAACATTCAAATGCAGAGTTCATTTTATTGAAGCTCAGTCGAACAAATTACCATTAATTTGCCCCCAGTAAAATTCAGTATTAAAAATGTTTCATGTTTGCCAAGTGAAAAGTAAATAGCTAAAAGGTGTTAATAAAACTTTTTAATTTATTTTTTTATTGAAGGATAATTGCTTTCCAGAATTTTGTTGTTTTCTGTCAATACACTCAAATAATTTTGACAAATAAACAAACTGTGGGAATTCATAAACCAATGCTTCCTCTTTTACTTTTAATTCCTGTATCACTTGCTTGACTAGTGGGATAAAAAATTCTGCTTCTCTCTTGCATAGCAGAATAATATAATCAGCTTCAAAAGATAATGTAAAGTTACTCTGAAGAGAAAATTCTGATTGGAATAGCTGATTAGGAAATAGGGGGCCTATAACATACACTCCAATGACCAACGGGCAGTATAAACACAATACAATTATGAAAAGATGAAAGTGAGGAATTATCTTATTTCCTATCATGTTTGCTGAAAATTTTCCACTTCAGGGACATCTGATGTGATCTCCTATTGTTGGAGGTAGACTTTCCCACCTGCTCAGCTTCTAAAGTACACATGAAAGAGAAAATGGAGACTCAGCTTTAAATAGAGTTACTGATGGGCTCACCTGATTATACTGTTTAAAAACAATAGCCTTAAGAGAGTCCAGATACCGGCTTCTGAGGTCCATTTTCACAATCTGATGGTGTTTGCTAGCAACTGTCAGTGCCTTGAAGTGAAAATTAGCAAGATTATTATTAATAGCATCACTGTGTCTATCCCTGTATTTATACTTGTTCAGAAAAAATGTAGGAGTTGTAATCAGTGAATAATTTCTACTTAAAAAAATCCAGAACAATTAAATTTCATGGTCTGTTACTCACCTTGAAAAACAAAAACAGTGGCTAGTGGCATTAAGATCCTCAGAAAGGCAAGGTCTTTTGTACCATTTTTAGAAAAGAGATCCTATTTTTTTTTTTTAATTAAAAAAAAATTTTTTTTGGTCAAACTACACAGCAGGCAGGATATTAGACCCCCAACCAGGGACTGAACCCATGCCCCCTGCAGTGGCAGTATGGAGTCTTAACCACTGGACTGCCAGAGAAGCCCCAGAGTGATCCTGTTTAAAGTTAGGAATTATGATAAATTAAGGTGAGAGTTAAGAATAAAGGATGAATACTCAAATGTTACCATTTTTATGACTAGTCGTTAGTTCTGTATGACGCCATACAAAAATGCAAATAGATAAAGCAAATTATAGACCTTATGTACCACTCTGGTTTCTGGAATAAAACATCTTCCGAAAGGAACCAGCAAAACTGTTAAAAGCAGTTACTTTGGGTGAGTGGGATTGGGAAAAGGGTATGAAGTCGTAAAAGATTGTTTAGAGACTTCGTTGGTTGGATTTTTACCTCGATTGTGCATTATTCTCAATTTCGAGACAGTAGTGAAGAGTTCTAAAGCAATGCTGATGCTGTGCGCTCATTTGCAGGATAATAGTACTTGCTGCTCTTTATTTTAGGAGATCAAGAATTATGGGTGGTATTTTACACCAGATGATATATAGAAGTTTAAATGTACATGGCCCTGAGATATACAAGAGCTGACTCATTGGAAAAGACCCTGATGCTGGGAAAGATTGAAGGCAAAAGAAGAGGGCAGCAGAGGATGAGATAGGTAGATAGCATCAGTGACTCAATGGACATGCACTTGAGCAAACCCCAGGAGATAGTGGAGGACAGGGAAGCCTGGCGTGCTGCAGTCCATGGGATCGCAAAGAGTCAGACACGACTTAGCAACTGAACAACAATACTATCGCTTATAGTAGTTGGTTCCATACCTGACCCAGAAGGGGTAGATTGCTCTTCAGTTGGGAGGACGAAGTGAAGGCATATGGAGTTTGGGAATAGTATACCACGTAAGCAGGTTTGTACTGGTTTGGCTTTTTATACTGTGTTCCCCAGGCAATTCGAATCCATACTGAGTTCTCCTCGGCATCTCTGAAGCTGACTGTCACCTTATTTAAAAAAAAAAAAGACATAAGTTCTCTAATTAACATATCATGCTTTTTAGGGATGAAGGATGTCACTGTCTGGCTAAAATCTGGCAGTTTTTCTCTTACTTCTCATTGCAATGATTTGGGAAATCTCTGGAAAAGCGTTTTGTGGTTGCTTTGTAAAGATACATTCGTGCCTTGCAAAGTCTTTTGGAAGGAAAAAAAAAACTTAAATCCCACAATTGGTGTATGACATCACAAATTCTCAATAATTTCTTGGGCTTTGTCCTGAAAAAATAGTAGAAAGGGACAGAAAATGGGCTACCTTTTTACAACTGAAACATAGTTTTTAGTTTGTCTCTTCTTTGTAAGTTTTCCCAAGAACTTTCTATCTTGAAGAGTTTTATCTGATAAGATGTGCAGTTAATCCTCTCTCTCTCACACACACACACACACACACACACGCACACACACTCCACCTATCACTCCCCAGGTACGCTTCCTGTGCCCTCATACCAGCTTCTCTGTCCCGTGGTTCTGGGCAGGAGTTCTTAACCTGAAGTCGACGGTTAGAATTCAGGGCATCTATGGAGTTGGTGAGGGGGAAATGTCATCTTTACTTGTGGGCCTACCTGATGACTCAGACGGTAAAGAATCTGCCTGCAATGTAGGACCCCCGGGTTCAGTCCCTTATTTGTAAGTGAAATTTGGCATCTCCTTCAATTGTGAAAGTAGGCATCAAGACAGTAGAATTTTAGGATGTTATTTTGTTGTCCACAGAAATCTCAAGTTATTTTTATCACATCACAATTGTTGCATGGGCCTCAAGAATGTCATTTACACTTATTAGCACTTTGAAGCTAGTTATTCTCAGACCCACTATGAGATTATTTAGTGTGTTAATAAAGGAGCCACATGCATTACTGTATCACAGTTTGCCATCCCAATGCCTTCACAGTAACTGTATTTTCGGTATCATTTGTTTCCCCTGTGATTCTGTAGGTTCCATTTTACAGCATTAAACACACTTCTGAGAAGTCGTCCCTCAGCGTCACTGCCACAGAAAGGTTGAGATGCTCGTCCGAGAGCGGCTGGTGAGTCACTCCTCATTCCTGGGCACCGGGAGATACTACCTGGCATAGGTTGCCATCATCAGCCTTTGGGAAATTGGGTTAACCAGCCACTAGTTAGGTTATGCAGAGGAAGGTAAAGATAAGCCAGGAGGCCTCAGTTGGTTGAGGAAAGGGATGAGGACGTGTTGGTCAGCCCGGAGTAGAGGGACGGGGCAGACGGAGAAGACCCAAGGCCTTTACCTGTCTATCCTCATCTAAAGCCTGCAGCGCACACAGCATGTCACTCTCCAGCTGGTCTTTCAAGCAGGACAGACGTGACCAGTAAAAAGGCTCCTTTATCCCCCCAGCCCCATGCTTTTGCTGCTGTTCAGTCGCTAAGTCGTGTCTGACTCTTGGCGACCCCATGGCCTGTAGCATGCCAGGCTCCGTGGGGTTCTCCAGGCAAGAACACTGGGGTGGTTGCCTTTTCCTTCTCCACCAGCCCCACTGGTGTGCCTGAAATTCATTCATGAGGCAAAACCTTTCAGACCATGGTAGAGATAAGAAGAGATCTAACAACTAAAATACAAGGGCATCAAAGTAGGAGGAAATGTGAGTGTTTCAGACTCTTTTTCTCCTTGCATGGTAGGGGCAGTGGCCTAGGGTTCAGAAAACAGAAATCCCTGCTGCCTGAAAGAGGGACAGGAAAGACCATCAAGTGAGGAGAAGGTGCTGGGAAGGAAGATGCATATAAACTCTTAATTGGAGCCAAGAGAGAGAGACGCTCTCTAGCTTTCTTGTTTTGGGTGAAGTAAGATGGGTGTGCTGGCTGCAGTTTTGCAAGAGGAGTCAGCCAGTCAGTTTGAGCTTCATGAGAAGGCTGCTTCCAGAAGGGTCCAGATCATATATCTACAACATTTCTGGAGAACTGGCCAGGGATTCTGTGCCTATGAGGCTCTTTAGTTTTGTTTTTGTTTTTTTTTTTAAAAAAAAAAGCAGGTGCATGCAACATACCCACAGTCCAGACAGGACTCTCCTATAACCTCTGCAGAGTTCACAATTTCATGGTAACAAGAGTTTTCAAATAATATAATCCAAAATGACAACTTATTCACAAAATTTAAATAATAAGAGAAATCTTCTTTTGGTTC